CGAGAATTCCTGGAAGCATGGCACTCCACGAAGCAGGCTATTAATAAGCACATTGAACTTGACCCCATATACATTCCACTACGGAGGAAACCTGGAAGTGAGGCAATCCATCGCAACGGACCCCAGAGTTTAAAAACCAGGCGGGAAAACACACCGACACATCATCAGAGGCTGCACTGAGGATGTTACCCAGCACGGTAACAAAACGTCTGCCTGTCAACAAAACAGCTCGGCGAGCCAACCAACCTCAACACCCACAACCCGAGCTACAGATCTACTCCAAACCCTTAGCAAATATACTGTGTTTATAACTCAAATCAACCTTATCTTACTTCCCTGAGCATGGCTCCTATGATATGCCTACCAATGTAAACGGGACAGGAGGAAGTTTGGGAGAGCAATAATTATAAGAATATCTATTGTTAGGCAAATAGTCAGGTGTTTCTGAAGTGACAGGCTTGAATCCAAGAGGGCAAGTTGCCTTTCTTGTGCCAATGTCAAGGATGTTACTGAGCAGCTGCAAAGTACTGAATGGCAGGGTGAATAGCAAGAGGTCGTGCAACACATCAGCACCAGTGTCATAGGTAGAAAGAGTCATGAGGACCTGTAGACTGATTTTAAGGAACTATGAGAAAAGCTTTCACCCCTGATGTCACATACTAGTCTGTTTGAATCCTAGACTGACTACAATGCAGATAGGGGTCATTCAGCCTGTTATGTCTGTGTTAACTTTCTGCAAGAACAACTCCCCACTGCTGCTCCCTTGTCTCTTTCCCATACAGTACTCATAAAAAAAAATAGGAACTACACACGGGGCAGAGGGCATGGCTGAGGTACTAAATTAGCTGAATAGGAATTAGCTTTATTGTCACGTACTCAGATGAGTACAGTGAAAACTTTACAAGTCATCACTTACAGTGCCATCTTAGGTGCCAAGGTACCTAGATACAGAATCTTACATATAAATTCTTAGGGGAAAAAAAATTGAAAAATAACGAAATAAAAAGTCCAGCAATAAATTAGAAAAATAGAGAAATAAAAAAAAAAAAAAAATTCAGAATAACAGTCCTTCCATCGCAGACTGTGCTGGGCTTCACCTCAAGGCTGGGAGCGCTGGGAGTTTGAATCCACACTGAGGCTGGGAGTTGGACTCCATACTGAGGTTGGGAGTTATCTGATTCCATGGTAAAGCCCTGTCAAAGTCACTGTGAAAGAAGAGGTAATTCAGAAACTGGATAGGAAAAACATTGATTGAAAAGTGACATTAAAAAGACCAGCTTTATCTAAAATTCTTAATAACTAGTGCATCAGAAGATGCTGAGGGAATTCAGGGTGGAAATTGCAAAGGTACAAACCGTAATCTTCCAAATATCCTTCGATACAAGGGCCGTGCCAGAGGGCTGGACAATTGCTAGTGTTACAGCTTTGTGCAAGGAAAAGCCTAACAACTACAGTTTGACCTCAATGACAGGAAAGTTTTTGGAGATAACTGCGGGGGTCAAAATTAATAGTCACTTCAAGAAGTGTGAATTAATTAGGGAAACCCAGCACTGCATCATAAAAAAGCAAATCATGTGTAAATAACTTCAATGAGTTTATTTACTGAGTTGGCAGAGATGGTTGATGAGGTTCCTGTGACTTAGTGGTATTATGGACATGCAGAATGATTTTGAGGTACACAAAATAAATTGATGCCAAAGGAACAAAAGTGAAAGTGTCAACATAAATATGAAAATAGCTCAGTAACAGGAAAGAGTCATGATGAATAGTTGCTGTTGGATTGCAGGATGGTATATATGTGGGTTCAGGTGGCCTAAGACTAGGGCAGTAATGTAAGTACCATTTCCACCACACAAATGCCAGCCAATAACCATCTCCAATAACTGCACTCTCCACATAAATGTAGTGACTACAGTAACAGGTCACATGTTAGGAATACTGCAGTGAGTAACTCCCCTCCTGACTCCCCAAAGCCTGTCCGCCATCTACAAAGCATAAGTCAAGATTGTGATGAATACTTCCCACTTCCCTGGATGGATACAGCTGCAAAAGCGCTCAAGAACCTTGGTAACATCAGGACGAAGCAGTCCACTTGATTGGCACCACATCCATGAGCACCCACTCCCTCCTCCACCAACGCTCAGTAGCAGCAGTGTGTACTATCTCCAATATGCACTGCAGAAATTCCCCAAAGATCCTCAGACAGCACCTGCCAAACACACAACCCTTCCATCTAGAAGGACAAGGGCAGCAGATACATGGGAACACTATCACCTCTCCAAGCCACTTACCATCCTGACTTGGAAATATAGTACTGTTCCTTCGCTGTTGCTGGGTCAAAATGCTGCAACTCCCTTAAGGGCATTGTGGGCCATCGTACAGCACATGGACTGCTCACATGTTCAAGAAGGCAGCTCACCAGTGCCACTACCTCAGGGGCAACTAGGGACAGGCAGTAAATGCCGGCGAGCCAGAGACGCCTGCATCCCAAAAGTGAATTTAAAAAATGCAGTTCAGCATTTTGTAAATATTGGCATAGGCCTTTTGCCCCAGGCACCTCTTTGAATCCCCCACTTGCACTTCATTACCTACTTTAACAACCATCTTTCCCCCCCTTGACCAACTCTTTCCCCTCACCACTCTGTCACCCCCCTTGCTGTTCTCTGTCTTTGCTGCCTCTCTCCCCTCATCCCACTCTTTCCCCCCTCGGTCCTCTCTCTCACCCCTCTCTTGCCTCTCTCTCTCACCCCTCTCTCCCACCTCGCACTTCCTTCCCCGCACGCCCCTCTTGCTCCCACCTCACACTTCACTTTTCCTCCACCCGTTTTTCCCCATCCTTCCTGCACCTCCCCTCTCCACCTGTCCACATGCTCCTATCTCCTCATTCACCCTCCCCATGCCCCCCTCTTCCTATCTCTTTCTCGTATCTCGTATCTCTTTCCTCCAATGCACCACTCTCCCTCCCTCTCTTCTCTCCAGTTCCATTCTCCTCACCCTTACTCCTCATTCCCTCACCCCTTACCTCTTAATCAGATACACTATTCGTTCCTATGTGGCTTTATCGGAGATAATTACAGGTATTCATTCATAAGATACAAATCATTATGCAAGGCTGTTGGACCACGCACATGCACGCTGAATCACCAACGTCTGATTATTATCTAAATTACAGCTTTGAATTATGGCATTAGATGTACAATGTGAATGATAATTATGTATTGATGTTGCTCAGATGTTGCAGTCTTTTACAGGCCTTGTTTAATATGGTTGTAGAGGTGCCTCGTTGGACCAATGCAAAAATGGAGGTGAGTTCTAATGGTACAGAGGTTTTACTAAAGTAAGTAATTCTTATATCAATAATGCAGAGTAGTTGATGATTCAACAGAATCTGATGTTCATCTTGCCAACTTGGAGGATTTAGAAAGAAATTGCTGGTAGGTAGAAAAGAATGGGACCTTAGAATCTTTCAAAGTAACAGCGTCGACTTGACCCATCGGGAGATGTTTGTTCCATTTCATGCTCTTTCCCCATAGCCTTGCAAATATTTATTTTTCAAATATTTATCTAATTGTCCTTTGAACGTCACTGTTGAATCTGCTGCCAACACCCTTTCAAGACAATGCATTTCAAATGATAATTTGTTGTACAAAACAGGTTTGTCCTGTCTCTCTCATATTCTGGATAGATTGGGAGGCAATTTTACTTAAAAAAAAAATGAAGGCAACTCCCTAATCCAGATTTTCCAATGGGCAGATATTTGCAACATAATTGCACATCAGGATCATGCAGAATCCCTTATGCCCTAACTACAAGGAAATTACCCGTGAAATTGAATTTGCTGATGGGTAATTTCCCTTGCAACTGATGACCTCCAGAAAAGTCCCTTAAAGTCAGAGAATTTGGTAAGTTCAGCTTCACTGAAGTCTCATAGTACCCAGGGAAAGTCAGAGGATCAAATACTTACTCTAACTCCTGGCTAGTTATTATCCATTCCCCCAACAACACCTACCCCTGATATCTGATCCCACCAAACTCGATACACAATTCCTGCTGGACTTGACAATCCCTCCGGCGACCAGATACTTCAAACCCTACCCTAATGTAATGTGACTTTCGGCAGCAGGTACTGATGATGAGGGTGGATGCTAAGCAAGGGAGCTAAAGCAGTTGTGTTGGCATCTCCACCAGTAGATGGCAACATTTTATTTGAGTAGTTAGAAAAGTTTTATAAAGGTTCATCAGAAATAAAGAACTTATCGAGTCATACAACATGGAAACAGACCCTTCGGTCCAACTGGTCCATGCTGACCATGTTTACCAAATTAAACGAGTCCCACTTACCTGCATTTGGTCCATTTCTCTCTAAACCTTTCCTATCCAAATGTCTTTTTAAAAACTTGCATTTATGTAGAAATTTTCATATCTTTTTATTCCTAAATTTACTTTATTTCTCTTTATTTCCTTTGTCTTCTCTTTTTTTCCATTTTCTCTAGTTTTTCATTTTTTCTCTTTTTTTTTCTCTTTTTTTCTCTATTTTCCTTTTCACCTTGATAAAGATTAGTGAGGGCAGAGCAGTAGATGTTGTTTACTTGGACTTTAGTAAAGCCTTTGACAAGGTTCTACATGGTAGACGAATTAGTAAAGTTAGATCATGTAGGATTGAGCGTGAACTTGCCAATTGGATACAAAATAGCTTGATGGTCGGAGACAGAGGCTGGTGGTGGAGGGTTGTTTTTTCAACTGGAGGCCTGTGACCATTGGTATTCTACAGGAATCGATACTGGTTCCCCTTTTGTTTTCACTTATATAAATGATTTGGATGAAAATATAGGAGGCATGGTTAGTAAATTTGTGGATAACATCAAAATCGGTGATATAGTGGACAATGTAGAAGTTTATCTAAGATTGCAAAGACTTCTTAATCGATTGGATCAGTGGGCTGAGGAGTGACAGATGGAGTTTAATTTTGATAAATGCGAGATTATTGCATTTTGGCAAAACAAAAAAAGGTAGGACTTATGCAATTAATCACAGGGCTGCGTAGTGTTGTAGAACAGAGAGACCTAGGGGTTCAGGTACATAATTCTTTGAAATGTGCGTCACAGGCAGACAGGGTGGCTAAGAAGCGATAGCAAGAACTGCAAATGCTGGAGCCAGAGACAGCGCAGTATGGAACTGGAGGAACACAGCAGGCCAGGCAGCATCAGAGGAGCAGGAAAGTTGGTGTTTCGGATCGGGACCCTTCTTCAGAAATGGACAGGGGGAAGGGAGCTGGGAAATAGATAGAGAGGGGGAGATGGGGCTGGGGAAGGTCGGTGGGATGGTGATAAGTGAATGCAGGTAGGGAGTGATGGGGATTGGTCAGTGGAATGGGTGGGGCGGATAGGTGGGAAAGAACATGGACAGGTTGTGTCAGGTCAAGGAGGGAGAGTTGGAAGTGCGATGAGGCCAGGGTGTAGGGAGATTTTAAAACTGATGAATTCCGTGTTTAGGCCATCGGGTTGTAAGCTCCCAAGGCAGAATATGAGGTGTTACTCCTGTAGTTCGCGGGTGGTGTCATTGTGACACTGGAGGAAGCCCAGGATGGACATGTCGCCCAGGGAGTGGGAGGGGGAGTTAAAATGGTTGTTGACCAGAAGGTGTTGTCGTTTGTTGCGTACAGAGCGCAGATGTTCTATGAAACAGTCTCCCAGTCTACGCTTGGACTCAGTGGTGTAGAGGAGGCCACATCAGGAGCAGCGGATACAGTAGACCAAGTTGACGGATGTGCAGGTGATCCCCTGTCTGATATGAAAGGTTTGTTCTGGGCCATGAATGGAGGTGAGGGGGGTGGTGTAGGGGCAGATGTAGCACTTCTTGCGGTTGCAGGGATAGGTGCCAGGGGTGGTGGGGCTAGTGGGGAGTGTGGAGCGGACAAGGGAGTTGCAGAGGGAGCAGTCCCTACGAAAGGCAGCTTAGGATGGGGAGGGAAATATCTCTTTGGTTGTGGGGTCAGATTTTAGGTGGCCAAAGTGGCGGAAAATGATATGTTGGCTACGGAGGTTTGTGGGGTGATATGTGAGGACAAGGGGGATTCTGTCTTTATTTTTGTTGGGGGAGGGGATGTGAGGGCAAAAGTGTGGGAAAAGCAAGAGATGAGGTTGAAGTTATTTTCAATCACCGGAGAGGGGATGTTACGGTCCTTGAAATAGGAGGACATCTGGGTTGTTTGGGTGTGGAATGCCCCATCTCTACAGCAGACATGGCGGAGGAATTGGGAGTAGGGGATTGTATTCTTCTTGCAGGAGGGTGGGTGAGAGGAGGTGTGGTCCAGGTAGCTGTGGGAGTCAGTGGGCTTGAAATAGATGTCAGTTTCAAGGCGCACTAGAGATGGAGCTGGAGACGGAGAGGTCCAGGAAGGAGAGGGTGGTATCGGAGATGGTCGAGGTGAATTTGAGGTTTGGGTTAAGAAGGCATTTAGCATGCTTGCCTTCATTGTTCAGACTCTTGAGTGTAGGAGTTGGGACGTCATGTTGAGGTTGTACAGGATATTGGTGAGGCCACTTCTGGAGTATTGTGTGCAGATCTGGTCACCCTGTTATAGGAAGGATATTATGAAACTGGAGAAGGTTCAGAAAAAGATTTACCAGGATGTTGCTGGAACTGGAGGATTTGAGTTATGAAAGTAGGCTGGGTAGGCTGGGACTTCTTTCATTGAAGTGTTAGAGGTTGAAGGGTGACCTTACAGAAGTTTATAAAAATCATGAGGGGTATAGATAAGGTGAGTACCAAAGATCTTTTCCCAAACATGGAGGAGTTCAAAACTAGGGGGCATATTTTTAAGGTAAGAGGAGAAAGATTGAAAGAGGACATGAGGGGCAACTTTTTTTAACAGAGAATGGTTCATGGGTGAAATGAACCACCACATGAAATGGTGGATGCAGGTATAGTTACCATGTTTGAAAGACATTTGGACAAGTACATGAGTAGGAAAGGTTTGGAGGGATATGGGTCAAACGCAGGCAGGTGGGACTTGTTTAGTTTGGGAGCATGGTTGGTATGGACTAGTTGGACCAAAGGACCTGTTTCCATGCTGTATGACTCTGGCTCTAAGAAGCTCCAAATTTCTTCACAACCAGTGATGTAATTCTGATGTGTATCCATTGTCATTATGTAGATAAATGCATTGACCAATTTGTGTATTCAGCATTCTACAAACAGCAATGAAAGGAAAGCATATGATTAGTTTATAAGTGATGCCTGTTAGCCAGGTCGATGGGAGAACTATTTGTTCTTTGAATTTTTTGGGATCTTGTATCTTTTATGTCCATCCATCTGAGCAGGCAGGTAGGAAGACATTAAAAGTACTTTTTAAGTTCCCAGGAACATTTTTCATTATGTAGTTGTAACATTGTTTTATCTTTTCTAGATTGCTACAAATGTTCCTCTGAACCCAATCAAGCAAGATGTGAAAAAGGATAAAATGCGTTACGTAGCAAATATCTTTCCTTACAAGGGTTATATCTGGAACTATGGAGCATTACCACAGGTTAAGAATGGTGAAAATGTGTAAACTGCTCCTCACTTACTAACTTGTCAAACTGAAATAACATCTAAACCGTAGAATCCCTACAGGCCATTTGGCCCATCAAGTTCACACTGACCCTCCAAAGAACATCCCACCCAGACTCACCTCTCTACCCTATCCCTGTAACCCTGAATTTACCATGGCTAACCCACCTAAACTGCACATCCTTGGATGCTATCGGCAGTCACCAAACCTGCATATCTTTGGGCTGTGGGAGGAAACCAGAGCACCTGGCTGAAACCCACGCAGACACGGGGAGAATATGCAAACTCAGCGCGGTCAGTTGCCCGAGGATGGAATCAAACCCAGGTCCCTGGTGCTGTGAGGCAGCAGTGCTAATCACTGAGCCACCTTGCCGCCCCATTTAGGGCTAGAAAAGGTTCATGGATTATTGTGAAGACAAGATCACCATGCATGAATTTACATTATCAGCCGTGGAAATAGTAGGAGCAGGAAATCTGCAATTCTTTTCCCTTTAGTTGAGGGGAGCATCTATGGAGATCTGTACAATAAATGCTGCAGCTAGTGTGATACTAAACTATGCAGGCAGGAAAGGGCCAGGTTTGAACTTTGGGCTGTTTTGAGTTAATTTTGTTGTAATCGATACATGCTCCCCTCAACTAAAGGCAAAACAATTGCAGATTTCCTGCTGCTGTTATTTCCATGTAGGAATTCTATGGTTTAAATATTATTTCAGTTTGACAGTTATTCTAATTGCTGTGTAAACCTACTCTAATTCTGCAAAATGTCCTTATTGAAAGAGAACTCAGAACTCTGACTGATTTACTGTGCAAAGTGGTACAATGAATGTGCATCAATGTGGGACACGCGAGAGTATGAAACTCCTGATGGATTTAACAATTTCCTCAGTGTGGATGTTGGTTTTTCATTTCTAAAGATTATATGGAGGATAATGTATCGTTAAGGAATGAAGAAGAAGCAAAACAAAAATGGTGGTCCAGTTTTTTTTGCCCCACTGTATTAGCCATCTTCTCTTCTGTGTATGCACCTTGTATTTGAATATTTTAACACTTTAGAAGAAGAGGCACTTTTTTTGGTTCCTTATCCATGCTTTATTTTGTTACTGCTAAATATCGATCGAATTCTTAGACCACCAATGAGTACACAAATATATGTTCTTTTATTTATCAAAAAGAGATTGGTTGTTGTCACTGGCACTGTGAATCCAAAATTACTTTTCCCTGAAAATGAGAGGAATAGTATCGAGCAAAGTAAGTTTAGCAAAGATCTGGGAACAATGGAATTGCAGGAACTGGAGAGGCAGGCAGTGTATTAAGGCATAAATGATGAGCGAAGGGCTCTTGGAATCACTGCACAGAGAATGTAACAATGAGAGTGACTGACCTTTCTCTTTAAGTTACAGTTGTTTCAAACATTTGCACTGGAAAGAGTGTTACACAATCATGCCAAATATAGGGAATTTCATGAAACACCCAAAAGCAGAAATCACTGGCGAAACTTAGCAGGTCTGACAGTATCTGTGGTGAGAAAACGCAGTACTTTGAGTCCTGTGACCCTTCTTCAGGACTTTGCTTTTAATTGACTATTCTGTTTGAGCCACTCTACTTTTATGCCACGTCTTACAGAAAGAAGTAGTTTTCTGTGCCCTGGAAGCACATCAAGCATCTTTCCATGTCTTTGGATCCATCAGAGATTTTGTCGTGCCTAACTGAAATTTCAGACAATGATGTAAATAATTACAAAATCCGATTGAAAAAGGGAAAGTAAGCAATACAAAACTCAAACCAGTTTTTTGGAGTAAGAGTATGAAAACAAAGTGTTGAGTAGTAAAGGGTATTTAATAACCTAATTCATTATATGTCATCCTCGGATATCCAGTGATGTTTTGCATTCTGTGAATCCATCAGGTTATTCTATTAACGCAAAACTAGAGTTGTACTCGAGCGTGGAATATGCTCTTGGAACAGAACTGTGTTTGGTTTCAATCTTTAACATTCAAATGTGTTTTACTGTCCCAGCAGACTTGGGAAGATCCCTGTTACGAGGATCCCTGTACAGGCTGTGGTGGTGATAATGATCCAATCGATGTCTGTGACATTGGATCAAGGGTTAGTTTTTTCAAAACAAATTTGTTATATAACCACAACTAATTTCCTGGAATCATTCTGGCCCTGTATTCTAATGGATTTAATATGCAACTGGGTGAAAAATGATTAGACAATTTCACTGATTAGTTAGCTCAATAGAAGCTATCTCTCCTCTATGTTAGAAGGTTGGAGGTTCAAGTTCCACTGCAGGAAACATAATCCAGGCTGACATTTAAGTGCAGTGTTAAAGGAGTGCAGCGTTTGACTATGCCATCTTTTGCATGAGAATTAGTGATGCAACGTGTACTCTTCAGGCTGGTGTAAAAAAAAATCCCATAGCGGTATATTGAAGCAGAACAAAGAAATTGCCCCGGTATCCTGATCATTATGTAACCTTCAACCAACATCACTTAAACAAATTATCCAGTTATTTACCCCATTGATTTCTGTGAGGATTTAAAGCTTGAAAATGTGGCTGTCACATTTCTTCCATTATAACAGGGACCACGCATCAAGAGTTTTTCTTGTTGTCAAATACTTTGGGACATCATAAGCCTCTGAAAGGTGCTTTATAAATGTAAATTTTTCACATCATTTTTAGGAGATATTTCCTTTGGAAATGAGTCTGAAAGCATATGTCTCTCATGGTAGGCAGGGAATAATCATATAGAGATACAGCGAAAGCTTATTTGAAAACAACACTTAAAGTTTCATACTGAAAATTAAAGGGAGAATTTTAGGGAAATTCAAGCCGGAAATTGAGACAGGGTAAGCAAGACCTGGAAGGGGATTAATGCTTAGCTAGCCTTACAAAGAAACAGATGCAGCATTGTGTTGTGTAACTGGCAAAATTTGCATCACGCACTGCACAGGACAGTGTGCCACTAATCAGTAAATGAATTACTTTAATCAGGCCACGTTTTATGTTTGAAATGCTGGCGTTCAGTCATTGGAGATGAAGTCATAACTAGACTCTCATTGCAGTCACACATTTAGGGATTATGCAGGAGCAGCTACACTTCCCTAAACAATATTCAGTAGTGGATAATCCTATAAATTATGTCTATTTGCAAAAGTTAGTAAAGAGATTGGAGAAAAGTATTTTTCTTGAGTAGATTTATAAAAGGGGATTTGCATCTCCTTTGTTTTTTTCTTTTCTTCTCCTTAGGCCACATGCTTTCTATTGCTAGGAGTTGAGTCTCCTCTGAGCCAATGCTGGAAGCTGCAAAAGAGGCTACGTTATTAAACCACTTGTAACTGATCAAATCCTCTTTTGCAAAGTCCTCTTAAAGGTTTGTGTTTAAAAGCTCTGTAGAGTCATAAGGGAATATCTGTACAAAAAAAGACTTCCAATTATTTTGTGCCTTTCAGAATTTCAGGATATCTAAAAGTATTTGACAGCTAATTAGTTACATTTGAAATACCGTTAATGCTATAGTCAATAGGAACTGCAGCAGCCAAATTTACACAGAGCAGGGCCCCACAAATAACAAAGTGATAGTCACCAAATGATCTATTTCAGTGATGTTGGTTGACGGACAAAAGTTTGTCAGATCTCCCGCTCCTCTGAATAGTGCTGTGACATCTTTTATGTCCACTTGAGGGGGCTAATGGGCCTCAGTTTAATCAAAATTTTCATCCAAAAGACAGCCCCCCTCAGAACTGAAGTGATCGCCTGGACCATGTGCTCAAATCTCTGAAGTGAGACTTAAATCTCAACCTTTTGATACAGAATTGAGCTTGCTACCATTAAGTTCAAGCTGGTGCCTAAATTACTGAAGTATTGAAGGTATGGCATTTGATATCTGTTGACGCACTTGCATGTCTTTGTGTTAGTACTGATTTACTTTGTGAAAGGCACTGTGACCTGCCGCTTTCATCAAAGTGTTTGAGTATACTTCCTGATTGTTATAGAATCCAAGTTATGAAAGAATATATAGCAGAATGTATTTGATCCCTCGCTCAAACTGTTGAGTGGACTGAAAGATGGCTCAAGCCTTCGAAGAGCAATATTGATGAAACCTTACAGTGATATCGGACCAGAGGGACGGGGAAATAAAGGAGAGGCGAGGCATCTGTAAGATAGAACATTATGTTTGGAAGTGAGGTTGTTCAATCTAAAGTACAGGTGTTAAATTTGGAAAAGGAAGTTATGAAGGCATGAGGCACAAATTGCCTGAGATATATTTGGAAAATATATTAAAAAGCATGACCATACATAAGCGAATTATAGTCTTTAAAGAACTATTACATTACTTAGAGGAACTATCTATTCTGTCAAGGTGCAAAAACTTAAAAAAGATCAGTCAACCTTGCGTAACAATGGAAGTTTATGATTGTATAAAATTTAAAGAAAAGGCCTATAATGTTGCCAGAATTAGCAGTAATTGTGAGGATTGGGAGGTTTTTAATAGTACAGCAAAGAAGGACCAAGAAACTGATAAGGAAATGGAGAATAGAATATGAATGCAATCTAGAAAAAAGCATAAAAAATGAGCTGTAAAAGTCTCCTTTAAATATGTAAAAAGGAAACATTTGGCTAAAACAAATGTGTGTTCAGTACAGAGAGAGTCAGGAGTATTTATAGTGGTGAATAAAGAAATAGCAGAGAAGCTAAATAATTACTTAGTGTCTGTTTTGACTGACAAAGGTATGAGAAGTCTCTTAGAGTTAGTGACTAGGGAGATTGAAGAGTTGAAGGAAGTTAGCATGGGTAGGAAGATTGTAAAACCTTCATTAGACCACAGCTGAAGTAATGTGTGCAGTTTTGGTCTCCTCATCACGGGAGATATATTATTGCCATCAAGGGAGGACAATAATGGTTCACCACTCTTATTCTCAAAATGGGAGAACAGTCCTGTCAAGAGAGATTGGGCAATCTGGGCTTGTGTTCTGTAGTATTTTGAAGAATAAGAGGGGATTCATTGAAAATTACAAAATACTTAAAGAAATAGACGGGGTAGAAACAGCTAAGATGGTTCCTTTGGCTGGGGAGTCTAGAACCAGGGGGCACAATTTAAATGTTCTGAGATTAGGAGAATTTATTTTACACTGAGGGCTGTGGACTTTTGGAATTCTTTACCACAGAGGGCCGTAGAGGGTTAGTCTTTGGGTACGTTTATGCCAGTGGCATGCAGAATTATGGAGTTGGGGTAGGTAAAAGGCATTGAAGCATTCAGTCAACCAAGATCACATTGAATTGCAAGGCAGGCTCGACAGTCTGAATGGCCTCCTTCTGTTCCTGTGTCCGAAAGATTAAAATTACAGTGGGTTGAACAGTTAACTGGTAAATGAGGAAATCCACACTCTGGATAGAGAGGAATACTGTTTAAGTGACATTTTAATTCAGCTGATTTTTTAAAAGAAGTATGCTTTGCAGTGGGCTATGGAGCATTAATAATATGCAGTAGTACAATATATATTTGCCTATATGATTTACACTTTGCACTTGGCAATCATAAGTATGCAGTTTCTCTTAGGTTGTGACCAATTCCTAGGTCATTTGTAGTGAGCCCAAGAATTGAACAGGAAACATTTAATACTTTGCTGTTGGTTGTGATTCAAGATGTGATTTTCCTCAATTTTTGTAAGTTATGAGTTACCCAGTAGATTTATGAACTGAGAATTGAACCGGTGAACAGAATTAATGATAAACTGTAAATTTACAACAATACAGTCACACCATCCTCAGAGTGGTCGAAGTTACAGTGCATTATCATTATATTTGTGTTTGTGAATTTTAATACTTGTGCATTCTACTTGTATTTCTACCAGGTGTGCTCTTGTGGTGATGTTATTCAAGTAAAAGTCTTGGGAGCTTTGGCTCTTATCGATGAAGGAGAAATGGACTGGAAAATCATTGCTATCAACCTTGAAGACCCTGAAGCACAAAAGTTTAATGGTAAACATTACTAGTGTACAATGTTTGTTGCTTCCAAGCTTTGGATTGATCTACTCGGTTTCAACAACCAATGTCCCTCTTTCGTTTTGTGGGAGGATTGAGGAGATGGGCAGATGATTCCAAACTGACACTCCTGGTAATAGAAATTTCGAAGGAATGATATGCTAATGCAATTATATGTAATCTACAAGACAAATCAGATAGGTTTGCAGTACTGCAATGCGCTGTCAATGATTAACTAGCCAGCCTGGCTCACTAATGACTGCAGGACAGATTGCTCTGTCACTGAGGGCTGGAATTTGGCTAATGCTATAAGGTTAAATCCTAATGAATGGGTGTGGCCCAAGCTGGTAGTGTATTGGGAAATTTACATGTCTGAGCAGCAGATTTCACACATTTGGGGGTTCTGTGAGTGCCATGTCCTGCAGATAGACTGTCTGGCCTGGAGTAATTTGTGTGCATCCCTCATGGAGAGACTGTGGAATTTCTATCAAGCAAACAAAATCTCCAAGCGTTTGCATCTTAGTTCAGGAACTCATACATCCGGTAATGATTTTCCATACTTGTCAGAAACCTAAGATGATAGCCATTCTGCCTTAGGCTGCAGTGAAATTTCAGTCTTCAGTTTAAGAAATAAGAAGAATTACACTTAACTTATTGCTGGAACAATATGATTAAGGTCTTTTAATCACGTATTGGCCAGAACAGAGCTGAGAGTGGTAAACATGATGGTTTCTCCTTGTAACTAAGTTCTCAGTTAAATCAAGAAATGCTGTCAATAAAGGTGGAGCATTCTTAAAAATAAGTGGCAGGGTATTCTTTCCTTCTCATAATTGAATACTAAAACACAAAGCCAACTTGGTATTCTGAAGAGAGAGTCTGTATGAAAAGAGTGATCTGTCCTTTCACTTTATAGGCAAACCTATTTGAATTTACCACAATAAGCTAGTACTGATTTGGCCCCTGTAGTCTTTTGAGACTTTAAGACTACACATATTTACAATTGATCACAAATATTTATTTTTTTCATTCTCACTAAAGAGTAAAAAAATGCAATCTGAAATAGTGATTTTGATACTGTTCCTTAGGACTGTCACTGTAAATGTAACTGCATTATGCAACTGCAACATTAAACTTTAAATCACGGAGAATGATTGAAGTAATAACAACGAAACTGTACAAATATAAAATGGTTTTCAGGAAGCCTTTTGCTCCTTTCAACCTCTTCCATATGTCATCGTATCCTGATACTTGAGGACTGGGGCCAACATTCATCAAGCCTTTAGATTGTGGTGTGTACCTCATTTGTTTTCAGTGCGAGCTGCACAAAGAAGTCTGTATAAGTATCCTGGGAATGTGATACAAGTGTTGTGTAGTACACATGGTTAGTGTGTGTTCAGCTGTCGCTAACCACAGCTGGTTTTCAAAGGCTGTACTGGCTGAATGATGTGAGACTTGTAATTGCAACCGTGGTAATTCTTCTTTCCAAGACTGATTGAAGTGAGGATTACATTTGGCCTGAACACGTCTGTTTATTTCTTCCAGTATGAAGCACTAAAATCAGGAATTCACACTTGAAGTACAAATAATGAAAGAAAGAGCTGGCATTTATATGCTCCCTTTCAGGGAGTTGGTTAGCTCAGTGGTTGGTGGGCCGGCACAGTGACGCTGACAGCATGGGTTCAGTTCCCACACCGATTGAGGTTACTATGAAGGACTGTCCTTCTCAATCTCTCCCTTCACCTGAGATGTACTGTCTCTCAGGTTAAACCACCACCATTCGTCTCTCTCCAATGAGACAGCAGCCCTCGGGTCCCGTAGGACTATAGCAACTTTGCTGCCTTTCAAATCTCAGGATATCTCAGCGTCCCACAGCTGACCGTTTGCTTTCAGATTGCAGTTGTAAACAAATTCAGCTACCAATTTACACTCAAAGGTCCAACGCATAAGTGAGGAAAATCATCGAGTTTTATTTCGTTGTTGTTGAGGGATAAGTATCATATAGGGAACAAAATAATATCCCTACTTCTGTTGGAATAACATCATTGAGACTGTTTATGTCCATTTGAATTAATGAAGAGGAGCTCAGTGCACTGTCTCATCCAAAAGATGGCAACTTTGGACTTCTTCGATGTTACATCTAGATCATTGGGTTAAAGTATGCCCTTCTAGTGTTTCAGCAAGGGCTTGAAACCAGATCTAGAGACAAGGATATTATCACTAAATAAGATGGTAGACTCTCAATAAATTAGGAAAATGAAGTTGATTGTGTTAAGTGTCTTCACAATAAGTATTAGGTTGTAATGGTTATACAATTGTGTTTAATTGCTGAGTCAGGATTTTTCAGTCATTTACCACATTCTATCTGAGCACTAAATGTTTTCTCATCTTGAAGTGCCATCATCTATAATAAAAACAAAGTTCTGGAAAAACTCAGCTGGTCTGGAGCATCTATAGGGAGAGAAACAGAAATAATACTTTGAATTCTGTACGATTTAGTTGCAAAGAGCAGTCACATTGGTCACGAAACATTAAACCTGAGTGGATCCAATGGGAGCCTGAATGACTTGGCTTTGGAAGGATATTTGGGAGAGTCATGTGGGCAAAATGTTGGGAGTAATTTGTTGCATTTTCAAACAGAGTTCTAGCAATCAAGATGAGATTCTGGCTAGCAAGCAGCTATGAAGGGGAATTATTCCTTGTTGTCAGCCTCATGAACTCCAGTTCTTGCCTCATTAAAACGCAATTCCCTATTCTATCACCCAAAGCTAATGATCAACAGTTCCTGATGTGAAAATTGGATTGGGGACATGGTGGCTTCAGCTCGCTGCTTGCTCCTCTGTACTGTCATGATGGGCACCTCCCAATAACATCTGGGGCAATGGTAACTGGTTGCATATGCCCCGCACCTCAGACACTGGCATTTGAGATGTGACAGCCTCCCTGCATCAGCATGGTTCATCTCTGATGCACTTTTGTACTGCACTTCAGGATGTATTGGCACCTCTCATTTGAAATGGTACTGCAAGGACAATTTCCATACAGGGACAGGGGCACATCTCTGGACTGCTCACCTGCCCTGTCAATGCTCACTCACTTTTAGACTACCTGGATTCCCACAGCATTCCTATTTTGCCCTTTGCCTCCCTCCGCCAGCACTTCCAGGCTCACTGTCTGTATTGTCTCGGGCAGACACAAAGCCAGAAAGCTTGTCATGGTTGTCAGTAGTCCTCGGTCAAGTCAAAGGAGACACTATTCACCTAGAGGTTCCCAGTGCAGTAAGTCAAGGACAGCTGCTAATAACATTACAGAGGTCAGGCATCTACTCGGGATGGTCAGGGTAAAGATACTCTCATTGTACACAGTGGCGTGCTGAATGTTAGGCAGACCACCACTTGTCTTGGCTCCTTCTTTCATTTTGTGGGCTGCTTACTCCTGGAAAGTGAGAGAGAGCCACAGTTAGGAAGATGAAAGTGTCAGGCACAACTGTTAGTGTTGGTGCAGGTGGATGAAATGTGGTGAACTATTTTGAGGGACTGAGTAAGCAGCCCAGTGGGCATGCAGTCTTAATGGTGTGAGGGATCGAGGTGACAGAAAGTGAGGGAAGAAGTTGCATGCAGCTGTGAGAGTGGTAGAGTGTGAACCCTGATGGGAAGTGGGTGTGAGATAGCAGATAGTATTTTGCTGGCACAATGGAGAGTGCGATGCATTCTTCCAGATGGCAGAGACTAGACAGACCTGCATGACAACTTGGGACAAGGCAGCTATGGTCTGATATCCGTCAGCCCACCTCATCCACCAGAACTTCAAGGGACCTGCTTACAAAGTTTCCCATGTCTGCCACATCCGCAGCAAATGTTGGGAACAGTGCAGAGCAGCTCTGGACCGATTGCTTGTCTGGGTGTACGCTGACCTTTTAAACATAGCACCACTGGCAGGAATCCCAGGATATCCAGGCGCTGGCAAGTTCTTACAGCTCCAATGAGTGTTTGAATCAGGCTAGCATTAGACAAGATTAGCATTTGGGGCGGCACGGTGGCTCAGTGGTTAGCACTGCTGCTACACAGCACCAGGGACCCGGGTTCGATTCCACCCTTGGGTTACTGTCTGTGTGGAGTTTGCACATTCTCCCCGTGTCTGCATGGGTTTCCTCCGGGTGCTCCAGTTTCGTCCCACAGTCCAAAGGTGTGCAGGTTAGGTGGATTGGCCTTGCTAAATTGCCTGTAGTGTTCAGGGATGTGTAGATTAGGTGGGTTATAGGGGCATGGGTCTGGGTGGGATGCTCTGAGGGTCAGTGTGGACTTGTTGGGTTGAAGGGCCTGTTTCCACACTGTAGGGATTCTACAATTCTGATTCATATTGAAGATGTGTGTAGTAAAGGCATGGTAGATAGCTAATGAGACAAGTTTGGTAAAATGTTGTAAGAAAACTCACTAGGTATCACAGACAGAAACCCTCAGGCAAACTTGTCGAAACTGACACTTTGTCAAACTATGACAAGATTTCTCCCTGTGTTTCTCTCTCCACAGCTGCTGCCAGACCTGCTGAGTTTCTCCAGTAATTACTGTTTTAATTTCAAGTCTCTAGCATTTGCAATATCTTGCTTTTATTTGAGTCGTCATCTGGTGGTTCATGTGACAGTATGAAGTCTTAGAGCAATGTCAGCTGAGATGAATGGGGTTATTTTGATGAATCTTGTGCTGTGGTTGAGAAAAGGAAGATAAATTCAAATGAAATTGTTGCAGCCAGAGACTATGCCTGAACCAGGGCTTCCCAAAGTGGGGTTAGGGACCATAAATGGGATTACAATCTGAATTTTTGGAGTTGTGAGCTATGAGACAACAGCTGTGGCCATGGAGCTCGGGATCAGCTATAACAGCAGTGTTCTTACTGTAACTGGTCCTGTTCTCATTGTAGTCTCACTGGGAAAAGGTTTGGAAAGCACTGTCCACAACTTACTATTACTAGTTCTTATCCCTTCAAAATGTGTGCTTCTCCAGCTAGACAGGGGGAGGCGATGGCCTAGTGGTATTATTGCTGGACTGTTAATCCAGAGACCCAGATAATGTTCTGAGGACCCATGACAGATGGTGGAATTTAAATTCAATGAAATATCTGGTATTAAGAGTCTAATGATGACTGTGAATCCATTGTTGATTGTCGGAAAAACCCATCTGATTCACTAATGTCCTTTAGGGAAAGAAACTGCCATCCTTACCTGGTCTGGCCTACATGTGACTCCAGACCCACAGCAATCTGGTTGACTCTGAACTGCCCTCCGGGCGATTAGGGATGGGCAATAAATGCTGCCTAGCCAGTGACGCCCTCATCCCATGAATGAATAAGACCAAAAGACATCCAATCCAACCAAACCTATGCACCTCTGGACTAAAAGTAGGGCAGGTGGATAGCAATTTTTAAAGCCAGGAACACAGATCCTAGAAGTCCCCAGACCCAACCTAATGACATACATCAAGGCCCAAGTGCCTGTGGCAACCTTTCCAATATTGAAAAGTACTGTCATTCATAATAACTCATATATCACTTCCTTCAACTACATAAAATCTTATCAGAACAAATGTTTAATTCAAGTACAGAATCCTTTATAATAGCAAGCATTGACATTCATCGTCCCACTTCAAAAAGCTTCAACATTTGGAGTTGACAACCAAACTGAAATGGCAGACATCCTACCATAATAATAGATGTTGTAAAATTAGTCACTCAGCAATAATTCAGTAATTGACGACCTCAGGATTATATCAACACATGGGCAAATAGTAAACAATGATTTTAGACACTCCAGATATGTTTCTTTTAAGATTTAAAGGGCAGTTATTTTAAATGCCCTGACAGTTCCCTTTGGTGGTTATTTATGACAGGTGCACTTAACACTTTTAGTGTGTTCTCTTAACAGTTGTTTTTGACAACTCTGTTGACTTTTTCAATAAGCTTATCAATTAATAATATTATGCACTTTATACGCACACTCATGCCTACTTTTAACAATCCTAAAGGGCACCTTACCTCCCCAAAGCTGTCCCAGGATCATATCCAAAGGAGTACCTTGCCTTTCCAAAAGAATAGCTTGGCTATCCAAAGAAATGGACATAAGTTAGACACTTTTTTTTTATTAGATGTACACTGCATACTTCGGATTTCATGCTCTGGAGCTACAAAAATCTGATTTGAGTGGAGATAGTTGATGCATTAAATAGCTAGCTACATCTAGGAACTACGCATGTGAAAAACATGATCTTTCCCCATTCCCGCCTCTGTGAAAAGGCTGTCTGCCATGGTGAAAATCTAGGCCAGGCCAAAATATCAACAAACTGTCAGAACTGGTATGGAAATGGCAGAACAACTAAGTATGAGGTGCTATATTTGAGAGGAGGAATAAGGATCTACCACTTAGAAAATAGTCTAAATTGGACAAACATACATATGCATTCTTGTAGCGATTTAAACAACATTTGACATGGAGACAGAGGTCTAAAGAAGGCAAAAGCAGTGTACCAGTTGTACCAGAACATCTAAGGTTATATAGAGACTGTTCAACAAATGAAGGTTTAGTCATAATTATACTCTTCACAGTTATGCTTGTTACTCAGAAATACAATTTGTCACATGGCTATGAACTGTATGAGATAATTACAGCATAGCCATCTCATTAGAAAGCTCGCCCAGACCCCAGTTGGAATAAATACTTTCCATTGTAAGGCTAATCAAGTTCCTACTGTGTCTATGTTCAATGATCGTGTCCCTTCAAACAGCAAATAAGTTCATGTTTGCTGCAATTATTTCTCTGCAGCTTTAGAGTTTCTACTTTACATCCATTATCATTATGTTACTTGAGTAAATAAATGACTTCTATTGTCTCTTCTAGGTCTGTGAAGTTCAGAATGAAACTTACATTTAATATACTTTAACTCTTAAAATGCCTCAGCCAAGTGTCATCCCTGTTTCTCGCTCCCAACATACCTTATATCGTTGCGCCCATCCATGTATCTATCCGTTTTTTAAATTAATTTCTGTTCCTGTGTGCACCTGTGGGAATCAAGGGATACATATACACAAATCGTAGTAACATAAATGAGCAACAAAGTTAAAACAAAGTACAACAGTTAATTTCTGGAAAAGTAGAATTCAAGTGGAAGGCAATTCTGTTCAATTTATAGAGTACCTAAGTTGCATACTTCTGCACATTACAATATAGTGATGTAGAAGCAGTTGTAAAAATGCAAAACAAAGGTTTATGACAATGATACAAAACCAGATCAGTACGACTAAGGAGAAAGGTGAGCAGGCAGCGACTGCGCAGCTTAGGAGGGAATGTTGGTGCCTCCACCTTCTCAGTTTCTTTGCAAACCACATTATGGCATGGGCAACATAATTGGTCAGTTTGTTTCAAGAAGTTGCCTGTTGGTGCTTTTTTGAAAATGGTAGTCAGGCTGCTGTTTTTGGCACCTGCCTGACCTAAATATTAAGTGGACTGGGTCAGGGTTAGGCAAGAAAGGTGGTGAGTTAATCCTCCTTCACGCTTTACATGCTCCCCTGCCGAAAACATGCTCAGTGGTGGAGCCATAAAATGCAGCCCGTGGTCCTAGGGAACCAAAGTCAAGAGAGAGGGCTTGTATGAAGTAAAAAGATTGACACTGTTTCTATGCTGTAAAGTCTGTGTTATTCTACAGAAAAAGAGAAAAGAAATCTAACAGGAGTGTTCTGACCTGGAGGTGACATAGGGCCAATGAAACCATTCCAATTCATAATGCCAATTACATTTAATCTACTGACATGTAGGATTTCTCAGGTTAGCAGACATACTGGTATGTGAGTTTAATTATTGAGTTCAGTAATACAGACCACAAACGTTGGATGCTCCATCTCCCTCTAAAAGAAGGTCCACTGTATGTTGCAGTAAGCACGTGCAACATGATGATTGGCCCATTTGTACATAGAACATAGAACATAGAACGTTACAGCGCAGTACAGGCCCTTCGGCCCTCGATGTTGCGCCGACCTGTGAAACCAATCTGAAGCCCATCTAACCTAAACTATTCCATTATCATCCATATGTTTATCCAATGACCATTTAAATGCCCTTAAAGTGGGCGAGTCTACTATTTTTGCAGGCAGGGCATTCCACGCCCTTACTACTCTCTGAGTAATGAACCTACCTCTGACATCTGTCCTATATCTATCACCTCTCAATTTAAAGCTATGTCCCCTCGTGCTAGCCATCACCATCCGAGGAAAAAGGCTCCCACTGTCCACCCTATCTAATCCTCTGATCATCTTGTACTTACAATGTAAAGTTTTTTTTAGAAACCTGTTCAGAATTTCTGGTGTAGGTGGGACTTGAACCCAGGATTTCTAGCTCAGAGGTAGGGATTCCACCACTATGCCACAAGAGCACTCCCCCTGTTACTGGGAATCACTACATGCATGTGCAGTGTAAACTATTCAGTATTGGGTGTAAATAGCTGATTAATTTGTGTGCTTATTTCAATTTGTAAGTAATTTTTAAGTGTGATCTCTACTTTTGTTTAAACAAATTGTGACCAACCGTCAAATCAGGACTCTGGATTGTAAATTTTTTAGAATTTGAAGGCAAGATATCTTTAAACTGAGGGCAGTGACTTCACAGATTCTTCCAGTTGTACATTCTGTTGAAGTGGAGATCATGGGATTCCCGCTCTTGCGTCTCTGGTCTGGCCAAGCACTGACTTGTAGAGATTGACATGTGCTTCTTTGTCTCTAGAGTTCTCAAATTTTGTTGATGAACAATGAAACCTTACAGAATGCCAAGCAAGCTGCTGTTGATTTTATGATTAGTTCTAGCTGCTAAGTAAATTTGTTTGGCACTCGTTTGCACTGCCCTCCGAGAAAACCATTTGGCCTCCGTATCTTTGGCATGTCAACATTGGTGTTGCTTTGTCGGTGACTGCAATTTAATATTATCTGGAATGGGGCTTTTTTTTATGAAAAGAATTCATGCATGTTCATACATTCTTGAACATGACTTTTTCAACGTCTTTTTCAGTAGATGTTATTATTATGATACATCATGAAAATGTTGCTTTTGTTCTGAATGACGTTTTTGACTTACAACCCACAGACATTGACGATGTCCGAAAATATAAACCAGGTTACTTGGAAGCCACATTGACTTGGTTTAAATTATACAAGGTTCCTGATGGCAGGCCAGAAAACCAATTGGGTTTCAATGGAGAATTTAAAGATCGGGTATGCTTTTAATGCTTTATACTAAATACAGTGCCATTTGCATCTTCTACAATTCATGTAAATCTTCATGGAGGTGGGGTGCTGACTGGGAAGCTGGTGGTGTTAGGATGGATACACTGGTAATGTTTGATCTCCATGTTAACAATGCTTATCTGTACTACTTTTGTGCTGCTGCATAAGACATTCATTCCACTGCAGAGACATTAACATTTTTATAGCTCCTTGAAAAGAAGAAAGCCTTGTGTTTATGTAGCACCTTAACAACTTAAAGATGTCCTAGTCCTTTACAGCTAATGAAGTATTTTGGAGTTGTGTTTACTGCTTTAAAATAGGAACAACAGCAGTCAATTTACACACAGCAAGCTCTCAGAAAAAGAAATGTGTTCTACTTCAACAAAATGCATGTATTCTTTTACTAACTTTCAGGAAGATTTCCTGTGTATGCTACTATTAACGCTGCCCAATGTCTACTCGGCCTGTTAGTGGGACGAGGAAGAGTCACAATGGGTTCTCTGGAAGCTACTGAGAGACCCAGGTGTAGTCTCAGTTTAATGTCCCATCTGAAAGACAGCACTTCCTCAGTATGACACTGAAGTTTCAGTTTAGATTTTTATCCCCAAGTCTTGGCGTGGAACTTGAAATCACAACCTCTGCCTCAGAAGTGAGATTGTCACACACAGGCACAAATATAGAAATTGCTGGAAAAGCTCAGCAGGCCTGGCAGCATCTGCGGAGAGAAATCAGAGTTTACGTTTCAGGTCGAATGACCCGTCCTGAGAACTGTTCTGAACAATGAAACCTTACAGAATGCCAAGCAAATGTTCTTATTATTATGATGCATCATGAAAATGTTGCTTTTATTCTGAATGACGTTTTTGACTTACAACCCACAGACATTGACGATGTCCGAAAATATAAACCAGGTTACTTGGAAGCCACATTGACTTGGTTTAAATTATACAAGGTTCCTGATGGGAAGCCAGAAAACCAATTGGGTTTCAATGGAAAATTTAAAGATCGGGTTTGCTTTTAATGCTTTACACTAGATACAGTGCCATTTGCATCTTCTACAATTCAGACCCGAAACATTAACTCTGAATTCTCTCCACAGATGCTGCCAGACCTGCTGAGCTTTTCCAGCAATTTCTATTTTTGTCTCTGATTTACAGCATCCTCAGTTCTTTTGGTTTTTATACACTGAGGCACGACTGACACACAATAGAGAAACTTAAAGCAGAATTAACAGAACTGAGTTAATTTATGATTTTTCTGCTCTATGAATTGATATTATGTGCAGTGATATACTGCAGTGGAGTTTTTCATGTGAATTCTGATCTTTTTAATTCCCCCAAATATACCATTTTGTTCTTGTTTAAAACCCAACTCCAAACTGACTCATAATTTGCCCCTCCGCCCTGTCCGCCTAACTTGGTGCTTGCCCTGCCGAATTGAAATTGTTAGGAATGTCTCCTAGTCTTTCATTGTCTTTCAAGATGTTAAGTTCTGATATCTCATCTGAAAATTGCGTTAAATTCCCCAAGTAACTATTAAGTTTTAAATCTAAAGTACACTTTGCAATAATGCCTGAATGTGGGGGAATAAAAAACCAAAAGGTCTTGAGAAGTGAATGTGTTGTTACAAGTTTACATTTACTAGACCTACCAATGATATTTCTCTTTCTGGTATCAAAATAGTAAATCTTTTTCTCTCCATACATCTAGAACTTTTCTACAACTTGCAAAGGAAGTGCTGATTTCTAACAGTAGCAATAAGCCCTTATTTCACTTGACCAATTTAAAATTATCTTGCTTTTACGTTGTGGATTTTTGGGGACCTGTAATCTCGTTGAATGTCGCAAGATTAATTTCCTGCCTGATCCAACTTTTGTACATCAGTCACAGAGAGGTTCCTCTGAACGTACCGCAGAATGATCCCTTCAGACCAAATGGTTCACCCGCCATCTCTGTGCTTACTATGGATCCACCTGCATTAGGCTTAACGTGGCTTCCTGGATGCCAGCGTTCCAATGTGAGTGAGGCCCCTAGGAATAGCAGTGCTGGCGAGAGGCAGCAGCAGCTCTGCTTATTTGTCATATACGCTTGAACATGACTGACATCTATTAGTCTGCTAATATCAACCCACACTAGATTTTGAAAATGGATGTAACTCCGGGATAATCTACCCAAATTACCAGATTTTAGGTCTGTCAAGCTTTACAGAACAGTCTAGCAGGACCACTGAAGTGTGCTGCTCTGGAACCCATTGAAAAACACCTCAATTTGTGGTATACAGAGCAGTAGCAATCACTTGAAATTGCAGTGCTGTTGCAATCATCAATATCGGCTAATGTTCCAGTATTCATTGTTATTGGGATCGCAACATCAAGCCATGAATTACAACAGACCCTGCATTTTTGTAGCATGGAGTCACACCCGTAGATTGAACAGAAAATAAGAAAATAGGCTGAGAGAAGAAAGGTTGCAGACTGTTTCTAAGGACGGGTAAAGGCGATTTGATGAATTTGTGTGAAAAGCAGTTATAAGTTCAGTTTCAATTTACTCCTGGAGCTCAGGGTTGTGAAGGTGGAAGCAGGAGGTACTGTAACTAGAAAATTGCGTTGTTCTTTTATTCTGTAATTTTTAAAAAAACTATTTCATTTAACACGATAGGAATTTAGTAATGTAGGGTATGTCAAATTACAGGTTGCAATGGTTTAATATTTTTGTGAAATGGAAAATCCTACAGATCCTAACCCCAGCTTTTACATTGATTCCTACAGGAGCTCATGTTTCACTTGAAGTCGCCTTACTTAGCATAACAATTTTCAAAATTGCAACAACACCTTTAAGCAAGGAGTTACCGTATATGTTCCGAGAAGTCACATTGTAAAAATGGCAGTTACTGGAAAACAAACTTTCACAATTCTGCAGCTTTGATTTTTTTTCCCTCATTTCCTTTGCAAGTGTAAATTTTAAATGGGAACATATTTTCTTGTGCATTACCAATTGCATAGAACTCAAAACTAAACCGATGGAAAAAGTCATTTTGAGTTTTGTTAATACTAAGATGCAGAGGAATCTGGATGTCCACCTGCATGAATCAGAAATGGTTAATATGCAGGTACAGGAAGTAATTGGGAAAGCTAATGTCATGATTACCCCAGATACCCCAGATACCCCAACTCATTAAACAAGCAGGTGAAGAGGAATGAGCTGTTGATGGCAACAAAATGAATTTAAAAAGGATCCCTCCCTTGTAGATGCCTTTATACATGTAGAAAAGTACAATATAGAACCAGGCTCTTCAACCCACTACATCTTCGCCAACCTTGATGCCAATCTAAACTAATCCCATCTGCCTGCACGTAGTCCATATCCCTCTATTCCCTGCCTGTTCATGTGTCTGTTTAATTACCTGTTAAACATTGCTATCGTATTTGCTTCTAACATCTCCTCTGGCAGCATGTGCATTACACATCTCCTTTAAACTTCCTTGCTTTCACCTTAAATCTATGCTTCCTAGTATTTAATATTTCCACCCTGGGGAAAAAAGACTGACTATCCATCCTATCCAGGCCTCTCATAATTTTATATACTTATATTGGGTCACCCGTCAGCCGCCAATGCTCTAGCAAAACGATCCAAGCTTGTCCAATCTCTCCTTATAGCTAATATACTTCTTTCGAGGCAACATCCTGGTAAACCTCTTTCACACGCTGTCCAAAACTTGCACATCCTTCCTATAGCGTGGCGACCAGAACTGCACCCAATACTCCAAATGTGGCTTAACTAAAGTTTTATACAGCTGCAATATGACTTAGCAACTTGTATAATCAGTGCCCCGATTGATAAAAGACAACTATGCTGGCACCTTCATTATCACACTGTCCACTTGTCTTGCCACCATCAGGGAGCTATGAACTTGCATCCCAAGATCTCTGTATATCAGTGCTCCTGCCACTTACTGTGTACTTTGCTGTTGCATTTGACTTCCCAAAATCCATCACCTCATGCTTGTCCAGATTAAACACCATCTGCCATTTCTCTACCCAACTTTCCAACTGATTTATATCTTGCTGTATTCTTTGACAACCTTCCTCACTAACCACCACTCCACCAATTTTTGTGTCATCTGCAAACTTACTTATCAGACCACCTACGTTTTCATCCAGATCACTTATAAATATTGCAAGCAACAGAGGTCCCAGCACTGATCCTGGCAGAATACCACTGGTCACAGACCTCCAGTCAAAAAAGCACCTCTCCACAACTACGCTTTGTCTTCTATGCCTAAACCAATTTTGTATCTAATTTACCAACTTATCATGGATTCCATGTAGACAACATCCACTGCCCTGCAGTTATCAATCATCTTTGTCATTTCCAGAAAAAAATCAAATTTGTGAGACAAGACCTACCCTGCCCAAAGCAATGCTAACTGTCCCTAATAAGTCGATTCTTTTCCAAATGCAAGTAAAGCCTGTACCTAAGGACCTTCTCCAGTTATTTCCCTACCACTGATGTAAGGCTCACTGGCCTATAATTCCCTGGGTTACCCCTGTTGCTCTTCTTAAATAAAAAGCTATATCAGCTGTTCTCCAGTCTTTTGGGACTTCACCCTTGGCTAAAGAAGATGTAAAGAGCTCTGTCAATGTCCCAGCAATCTCCTCCCTTGCCTCGCTCAGTATCCTGAAATCGTTAATGTTCTTCTCCCGAACCAAGAAATTTTGTTTTAAAAATGTTTTAACAGGTGTTTTAACTAGACTTTTTTTCAGTTAACTAAAGAGTGAGTTTACTAGTAACTAAACAAAAAAAGAAATAACGCAACACACATACACAAATTAGGAAGAAGAAGTAAATCCAAAAAAGATGAGCTTTCAAAGATGTACAGATCAGTCTCTCGGAGTCATTTTGAAGATAGTACAATGATGATAATTGACCAGTTGATTTCGGGATTATTGGCTTTTGTGGTTAGTTTAAATCATTTGTCCTATTTCTTGTTGATGATGATTGGCTGGCAGCACGCGTAGGAAGATTCCTACTTGTTCTGTTTCCTTCTTACTGAGTAGTGAGCAAGAGAGTCCTTTTAACCCTCAACACAAAGGTGATTCTTTAACTGTGACTGCCATAGCAGACTAGTACCAAAACCCCCAGCTGATACTCATGAACCTCTGTTCATTGGCACACCTTTGTTCACTATCTGTCACAGACCAGTTGGATTTTAATTCTTTCTTTGTATGTTCCTAGAGGCACGAAACGCACAAAATTTCTGGAAAAGGTAGTTTTGTGCCAAGGGTGAGGGGAAAGGGTGGGTTAGTGGAGAGAGAGCTAGTCAGCCCACTCGATCTCTCTCTCTGTTATGTCACTGTCTCTGTTTGAAGTTTCCCTGCCATTCTAAACGTGTGATGTTCCATGGGTCTCTCTCAGAGCTTTGCCAGACTGAATTTACATCTGCAGTCTTTTATTTGCCTGTAGGGGTAGAGTTCTTTTTAAAACAAAACATTTTTGAATTAAGATTTTAAAACTGACCATAGTATAATTGGGCTTTAATCCATTTGTTGTGACCACACATAAAATGTGATTGTTTACTGTGAGCGGAATTGAGTACACATAAAAGGAGATTGTGCTCCAATGTTCTAAAGGAGGTTGAGCTCTCCCCACTCCGTGAACTAAAACCGAAACAGCCAAAGAGGACCACCTAGCCCTGTAATCTGTAAAAGGAGTATGAAAAGTGGTGTAACCTGCCATTCAGTCACTTCTAGTGGACAAATAAAATAATTCCCTGACATTAACTTTAAATTCAACAAATAACAATTTATTTATCTAACTCTAACAGTGAACAAATTAACTAAACTCTTAACAAACCAAATAAACCCGTTCTAACTACTAACTATTCCCAAATAAAATCAGATTCTTATGGTATGCTCTTCCAATAAATACAAGTCCCACTTTATATAAAATAAAATAGAATGTAGCCTCTCAAAGTTACAGCCAGGTTACATGTCTTCCAGAATGTTCTGTGCCTTCTCCGTCGAATGTTCTGTCAGTTCTTCTGTCAGCAATATTAACTGGTTATGCCATAGGTGCCTTTGATTTAGATGATGCTTTCTCTAAAACTTAGAGAAGACTGTGAGAGCCAGCGATTCTCTCTTGAGAGCTGAGAGCTGTTAACTCTGGTGGATGGCAGTTAGTTCTCCTGTCTTTGTCCAACTGCCCTCTTTTATTCCCTTGATGACATATCAATATCTTACAATAGGATTGGTCCTATGTTGTCAAAGCCATCAGATTTAAATTTAATTGGTTTTTGGTATCTAAGTGCATGGTTGAAATAGATTGGCTATATTCAAAACTTGTTGTCTTGATAACAAAACTGCTGCTTGGCCTGCTAACTGTGTGGCCTTTTGATACAAATGATTTAATTTGGGTGCTCTCTGTGCTCTTGCAAACTTTCAAGCTGCTCACAGATGTCCTTTTTAAAATCTCTAAGCATGGAAAAAGCACATCATCTTTTAATGGAACTATGCACTGCTTTCCCCCTTAACATTTTACAGACACCAAATTCTAATACACTGCCTCCCAATCCACAATACTGTACCCAACTTTGCAGCATCCAGTTATACAAGATATTGGTGAGACCACTAGTACTGTGTGTGTTATTGGTTTACTTACTGAAAGAAGAATAAGGATGAGTAGGCAACAGTTCAGGACAGGTTTGCAATTGTAAAACCTGGGCAGGTTGTCTAATGAGGAAAGGTTGAACAGGCTAGGCTTGTATCAGTTGGCATGTAGAAGATTAAAAGGTGATTTGATTGAAACATCCAACATCTTGTGGGGTCTTGACAGGGTGGATGTCAAAAGGATGTTTTGTCTTATTGAAGAAGCTACAACCCTACACTTTTGCGAAGTAAAGGGTCACTAATAGAAGGCAGTGGTGAGGAGGATTTCCTTCTCACAGATGGTCATCAGTCTTTTGGCATGCTTTTCCTGAAGAGGTGGTGGGTGCAAGGCCCTTGGATTTTTTTTAAGCGAAGTGTAGATAGATTCTACAAGGAGATGAAAGATTATTGGGGACTATGCAGAAATATGGAGTAATCAGATCAGCTATGATCTTACTGAATAGTGGATCTGCGTGGCTGCCCCCTGCTCCTCATTGGTGTTATGTTACTCTTTTCTTAGTACTTTTAAACAATTTTACTGCTCGTTGTGACTATATAGCCATACAGGTGGATAAACATGATACTTGTAACTTTATTTGTAGAATTTTGCTCTTGGAGTGATTAAGTCTACCCATCAATACTGGCAATCTTTAATCTGCAAGAAGACTGATGGAGGTAGTATTAGTTGGTGAGTTTCAATTATGTTCAACTACAACAGTAATAGTATTCTAAACTTGTAAATTTTCTTTTAAAAATTACACAAATATATGTATTGGTATACGGTGTATTCCAATTAGCTCACAAATAAAATCGCTCTTTTCGCTATTTCACTCTAATTGCTCAAAGAGATTAAACTGAACTCAATTAAATAATAGATACTGGGAGTCATCTTTATTGCCGTATTTATAGAGAAAAACTGACTCACCACATTTTATCATGATCAGAATATAGATCGTGCTGCCATGGAGTAATTGCGGTAAGTAGCATAAGTACATTTTAGGGGAAGACTAGATAAGTTAAGGAGGGAGAAGGGACAAGAAGGATATGAAAAGGTAAGATGTACGTAGCCACTGGTGTGCACAAGCCAAGATGGGTATTTTATTTGTTCGTCAATGTGGGCAATGCTAGCTAGGCCCAACATTCTTTGCTGCTCCCTAATTGCCCAATGATGAGCTGCCATCTTGAACCACTGCAGTTCTTCGGGTGTAGGAACACCTATAGTACTGTTAGAAAGAGCATTCTAAGGTTTTTGCATAGTATCAGTGAAGGAATCGCAATATAGTTCCAAGTCAAGATAGTGTTTGGCTTGGAGGGAACTTGCAGGTGATGGTGATCCCATGCATCTGTTGACCTTGTCCCTTTAAGTGGTAGAGGTTACAGGTTTGAATGGTGCTGTCTGAAGAATTCTGGTGAGTTACTGCAATGTGTCCATAAGATTGTAGAGGCCGCTGCCATTGTTCATTGGGGTGCTGGTTAAGTGGTCTACTTTGTTCTAGATGGTGCAAACTTCTTCATTATTGTTGGGGCTACACCATTCAGGTGAAGAGTATTGTATCACACTCCTGACTTGTGCATTTTTGTGGATAGCCATTATGGAGTCAGGAGCTCAGTTGTTTGCCACAGTATTTACAAGGCTAGTTCAGTTCACTGGTAACCCCCAGGATGTTGATAATGGTAGACTCAGCAATGGTAATGTAACAGGTACAAAAGTTAGATTCACTCTGCGGGGTGTCATTGTTTGCCACTTGTGATGTAACTTTTATTTGCCACTTATCAGCCCAGCCTGGATGTTGCCCAGATCTTGCTGCATATGATCACAGACTGCTTCACTATCTAAGGTGTTATGAATAATACTGAATATTGCACATTCGTCAGTGAACATCCCCAAATCTGACTTCATAATGGAGGAATATCATTAAAAGAAGCAGCTGAAGATAGTTAGGCCTTGAACATTACCCTGGGTGACTCCTCCTGTGATGTTCTGGGATTAAGACAATTGATTTCAAATAACCACTGGTATCTGTCTTTGTAATAGGTATGACTCCAACCAGCAGAGCGAGATTTCCCCTCGATTCCCATTGACTCCAGTTTTCTTAGTGCTTTTAGATCCCGTACTCAGTCAAATGCTGACATGCAGTATGGAGGGATTGTCTTCTGAGCAGAGGCTAAACAGGTTGGGATTCTACCCACCGGAGTTTAGAAGAGTGGGAGGTGATCTTGTTGAAACACAGGATTCTTAAGGGGCTTGACAGGGTAAACAATGAAAGATTGTTTCCCCTCGTGGGAGAGCCTAGGACCAGAGAGTATTGACTCAGAATTAAGGGGCACCAAATTTAGATTGAGATGGGGAGGAATTTCTTCTCTCAGAGGTTTGTGAATCTTTGGAACTCCTTGCCACAGAGCGCTGTGCTGGCAGAGTCCTTGTGTATATTTAAGGCTGAAGGAAAGTGGATGCAAGGAATATCGGATCAGGCGTGATCTTATTGAATGGCAGTCTAGGCTTGAGGGACTGAATGGCCTACTCACATTCCTATTATGGTCTGGTCAGCGCGGTTACATTCACCTCAGCTCTTTTTCCCATGTTGGGCCAAGGTGTAATGAGGTCATGAGCCAAGTGTCCCCAGCCCAGATAAGTGAGGTGGTTTAGAGGCAGGAAGGGCATCCAGCTGTAAAACCATCCACCAAATCCATAAATTACAGCTGATTTGAAAAATGATCAACAAGCAATGTAGTGACACTATTATGGGGAAAAAGAGAAAGGAAATAAGGTTAGAACATGAAATCAAGAAAATAGTGTGGGAGGAGGTTCACGTGGAGCACATCCACTGCCATGGATTGAATAATCTGTTTCTAATACTTTAAATACTAAAACCAATCAACCAAATCAAACCAAAATTAGAGTTGGTAGCAAGACGCAATACCAAACATTGATTAAAAGAAACTTACAAATTTCCATTAAAATGTCAGCAGTCTATTTCTACACTGCAAATTCTGTGCAATTCAATGTGATACCTTAATTCCCAGCTCAACCCAAAACCAGTCTTTTGAGGCTTTTGTTTCTCCTAACTGTCCTTGGACATGGGGTTGATATGGTTATAATATTATTAGTCACTAGTTGCTGCAGCAAAAAGCTGGACAGGAATTATCACAGTTCTGTGGCTCCTGTTTGTTCATTTATTTCATTTACCTTTTGTTTTCTGGTTTTATTTTCATTAAAAGTACATAAGACGATTAAAAACATACATTATTTGCTGAGAATATGATCCCAAACATTACAAACAAGTTACATTATAAACCAGTAGGAAAATATAAGTTGTCACTCTCTTAAGAACTCTGCAATATCTTGGAAAATGAACCTGCTCTACTAATTATCTTTATAATTATTATAGATGTTTAAATATTTTTGTTTGTACATTTATGTAAATGTTGTAATTGTCTTTGTTTTTAACTTCAGCAAAAATGTGTCAATCTGTGATAGCCCTTTCTGTTGTAGTCACACAGAAGCAGAATCAATTGTACAATCAGTAAGTATGAACCAGTTTCAGAATACCCTAGTACAGTAATGCTATAGATAAGTTGCATGTTTTATTTAGAAAGACAGTGTTAGTGATATTACATCTTATGGATGTGTTTTTCATGAATAAGTGATGCAAAACTAAAGTCCGAGGTTGTGTGGTGAATTAAACCAATCAGCTTTGGCAAATGAATTTAACCAGACTGAACCATGCCAAGAAATGAAATAGTGAGGCATTAGCAGCATCAAGGATGGAGGAATGGTCATTTGGCCAAACAAAACCAATGACATAATCTTGTTTGACCCCAGTTTGCACGTGTTGGGTCTGCAGTGAATCATAGGTGAGGATCACAGAAAGTGTGCAGCAAGCCACGGTTGGTGATGAATTTCTGAGGGCAACCAAGTTTGATGCTCCATAGTCCCTCTCAGGTGACAAAGTTGGCGGCCTTTGGGATGTCGAGAAAGGGCAGTATGGAATTTGATACTGTTCTTTGCATTTTTCTTGAATTCGTCTTGCTTTGAAAACCATCTCCATTGTATTATTTGATGGACAGAACCTGCATTATGACTCTGGGAGGAGCTCTTCAGCCACAGGGAGAAGCAGTTAAGATGTTTGTAGTGACCTTCCATGTTGCGGACAGCAGGGAGCCCCCTCTGTAGTTGCTGTAATCAGTCTTTTCTCCCTTCGTAATGATGATCACAGTTATAGCATTGTGGAAATCTTTTGGCATGTTTGCCTCCTTCCAGATGAGAGAGATCAGGCTATATACCCTGCCTTGTTTTAGTACTTTGGCAGGGATTTCATTTGCATCAGCAGCCTTGTTGATGAGAGTCATAGCATCATACAGCACTGAAATAAATCCTTCGGACCAACTTGTCCAGGCCGATCAGGTTTGTTATTAGACTTTTAAATGGGCCTCTCCTATATTAGAGTTGATCCTTCTCTGCACCTTCTCTATAGTTGTAACTATATTCTGTAATCTGTTCTGTTACCCTGATGTACTTATGTAAGGTATGATTTACCTGTATAGCATGTAAAACAATATTTTTCACTATATTTTAGTTCATGTGACAATAATGAGTCAAATCAAATCAAATCTGTTGCTTTCCCAAAGTTCTTCCTACCCACCATATACAGCTAAACCACCTGTGGTGCCCTAGACCTGACTCTGGCCGCCCTCCCCAAATGAACTATCCATCTCGTCTGTATTCAGAACTTAAGAGCAAGATGCACTTGGAGCCTCTGGCAATCGTGTCTGGCCCAACTTATTTGATTGGCGGTCACTTGTTGTCTCCCAGCTTGCACATCCAGCATTGTGCTATCCATGTAACATTCAGCGTCACACCTGGACCATTGTGATTCCTCCTGCTGCTTATACTCCACTATCTAGAACTCAAGCTGCTTCAATTGACGCAACTTTATGCACATGTAGTTGTACAGGACCAAAAAGAAAAGGGTGCACATCCCATGGATAGAGGTACCCTGACATTCCACTATTTATTAGATTAACCAAATTTATCAGAAATATGCTGAAGACTTATTGTCGTTAGTGCTTGTGGTCTTCCCAGTGGAAACATTTCTGGGACTAGGAATCATCATCATCACAAGCCTGGTGAATTACTGCAGAATATTCTGTAGAATATGCATATTATAGTTGGTATTGTTGGAGAGGATGCATATTGATTTCCTTTACTGGAATAGTGTTGTGTCGTTTCGTTGTTTCCAGAGCAACATCCAGTGACATGGTGAGTATTACATTACTCTCCTGACTGAAGACTTGTAAATGGTGGAAAATCTTTGCACAATCAGGAAAGGAACCATTTGTCCATAGAGACACTGCCTTGTTTCTTCAATCATGATATTAAAATGGGTGGTCCAGTTAAAGTCATTCCCAAAATGATTCATTCTAAAGTATTGCCTTGGCAATTGAAGAAACCAGATATGATGTAGGGAGTTTATAATGAGGCCTTCACAGCTAATTAAGGCTAAAACCCATCCTGATGATTATACTGGGATTGCATCAGCAATAAAATGTTCCAGCTGACTCCACCTAAATTCAGCACATGGGAGGAGGAATCTGACCGGAACACCCATGATCTGCCCTCTGGAGTGGGGGGTATCTACTCAGAAGGTCATTTGCCCTATGTCCCTGAGACTAATTGTTTTGTAGGCTGAACAGAAGCTCTGCCCCAACAGGGCCATACAGGAAACTCTGCTTCAATCGTTGGCAACTTTACATTTGCTCAGGCAAATTTAACGGAAAGCCCATTTTTTTTTTAAGCACTGTATGACTTAAAGATAGAGCTTGATCACGAAAGCCTTCAAATCACCTGGGAGTATGCCTGCCCCATGATGGGTAGATTTTACCACCTTCCCATGGGACACATTTGGGTGGAATGATAAAGCCAAGGCAGGATGGTTTGTGGATGCCTTCCCATTCTGGTAAATTTTGTGGACAGTTAATGCCTGCATAAGGATCTCCTGCCAGCAGCAACTACGTTCTCAGAATGCAGAAAAGCTTTGTTCTGAGGCACTCGTTGTCTAATTGAAGGATCTGGCACCTGGAAGCAGGGTGTCTGCTAAAAGCCTTCCATTTCTCCTTTCCTCCAATGAGCCCCCCCAACCCCGCATCCTCACTTACCTGTTGATCATCCTCACTGATCTTGAGCCTCTGACAGATGTATCGTTGGCACTCAGCTAATGGAACTGTTTGGCCAGCATCTCCAGGAAGTGAGATTCCCAATTCAAATCTCCTTAATCCCAGGGAATGCAGGCCACTTAGGGCCCAGACTGGCACCTAATTCCGTGGGTCTTTCCCAGAGGGTGTGATGTGGGACTCTTGCTGGCTCACAAGATCTCCATCGCCTGGATTAAATTCTACCCAATAAATTTCTAAATCCTCACTGGCACCAAGATTCAATCCAGAAGGGTGGTCTTTGCTTGCTGGATTATCCACTAAATGTGCTTTTCTCCTCCTAGGCTGCAGCCTACTCTAGTTCCTGTAACCCCAGGAGCATGGAAACAGTAACGTTCATTGAAGTGTGATCATTTAGAATTGTTATTCATTTTTACAGACCTTATCCACCCTACACTTCCACTTAACCCTTCATCCCATCATTTCATCCCAACACTTTTTTTTCCCCACCAATCAACCACATGCAGATAATAATAGTCAATACAAAACCAGCTCAAGTGTAATATTCAGTTGTAAAGTTCACTTGGTGAGTTATACACAAGGGAAGTGTTAATTATGCTTTGTTTTACAGGTACCAGAGTATGTCAAGCCAAACAGTATCCCAGACGAAGGTATGATATTAGTGCAGTATTTTCAGTGAGTTTACCTTGTGAACAAATGTATGCTGTTCTCCTAGTATTTTGAAACAGAAGGTTGATTCTTTTTGACATCATCATGACTTTTGGCAATAAAGTGTAAAACAGACAACAGTGAGTTGGCAGCCAGTTTTACATCTCTCCCAATTTTCATTTCTATTGAATTCAACCAGTGAGCTGCTAACTGATTGCTACTTTGTGTTAATATTTCTGTGTTCAAGAATTCTGTTACTTTCATGGACTAAAGCCCATTAACTCCCAAGGCCTCTGATTACCATGAATCTCTGGCCATTGTGGGTCTATACTGCACTGTCCAGGCTGTTCTATCTGACTAGATTATTCCTGCACTGTCAGCTGATTCTAACGCTTTGCCCTATGTAAAAGTAACTCTCCCTCACACTCAGTAAGTCCTGTAAGCTGTTTATATATATTCTAACATACAAAATACAAATTTCAACTCATTCCTGTCTTCCTATCTTTTCAAAGGCATGTGATGTTGATGTCAGAGTTGCACCATCATGTACATCGTCCTTAACATATTTATTTCCAATTATATGGCATTAACACCAGCAATCAGTTAGCTCAGTTGACTGGTTTGTGATGCAGAGTTACACCAGCACTGTGGGTTCAATTCCCACACTGGCTGAAGTTATGATGAAGGAGTCTTTTTCTCAATCTCTCCCATCACCTGATGTGTGGTGGCCCTCAGGCTAAACCACCTCCAGCCATCTCTCTGTAAGGAGAGAGCAACCCTTATTCACTACTTTCTCTCCACCTCGATTTCTGACTTTACACTCCCGCCCCACATATATCTATCTCTCTGTTCCCTCCATTTCTTCTGATACCTTCTCACTGAACTCAGTTTGCCTTGCTTACTTGCTTGACTGTGCACCTGCTGGTCCTCAGGCAAGTGGAAAAGGCACCAACATTCAGATTCAAACAGGGCATTGGCAATACCTTTGGTGGCACAAAGCCAATGACTAATTCTCAAGGGTGGCTGGAGATATGGCCACTGATCTGGAAACAGGCAGTCTGGACCCCTCCTTTGCTAGTTTTCCATCAAGGAAGCAGTTTATTGGGTAGGTAAGAATTGTGATATTCTCAGGTTTGGCAGCAGGAGCTTTTTTAAGAATTCCAAGGATCGTTGTTAGGACCGCTGTTGTTTTTCATGTATATTAATGGCTGGGATTTGAGTATGCAGGGCATCATTTTAAAGTTTGCAAATGTCCCAAAGCTCAGAAAGATAGAAAAAGATAGGAACAGGCTTCAGGAGAGGATGGAGGCATCTTGTGAAATTTTAAAGCATGTGGCAGAAGAAATTTAACACAAATGTAATGTGTTTAATAGTGCAGTTTTAAAGGCGATTTCAGGACCTGGTGTGTCATGGGGCACAAATTGAGAAAGCTGTTAAAAAGGTTATGGGGATCCTTGGCTTTATAAGTAGAGTACAACAGCAAGAAAGTCATGCTAAATCTTGAGAGTAATGCTGATGAACTGCAGTATTGTAACCAATTCCGGGCACCACACAATCTGAAGATGTGAAAGCTTTCAAAAGGTTGCAAAGACTGGAGTTCTCATTCGAGCAGAGAATAAGGAGGGTTTTAGTACAGATGTTCAAAATGATGAGTGGTTTCTAGCAACAGAAAGGTCAGTGACCAGAAGAAACACATTTATGGTAATTGGCAAAAGATCAAGAGCGACACAAGGAAACAGTTTTTTTTTTTATGCACAAGGTTGTTTTGATCTGGAATGAAATTGAAGCGGATTCAATATTAACTTTTGAAAGAAAATTGGATAAATAAATGAAGGAGAAGAATTCACAAGGCTATGGGGAAAGAGCAAGGGGATGGAACAATTTGGATAGCTTTTTCAAAGAGTTGGCACAGGCGCAATAGATCTTGCAGCTACTTCTGTGCTGTGTCATACTATGATTCTTTGGTGGTCTTGTCAAAATTGAATAGCAAAATAACCTTTGGACCATACAGGACTTTTGATCTGTTTTGCTTATTTCCATATGAGGTAGGTATTCATCAGTATCAGCAGAGTAAGATTTAATTTTTAACAGTGAAAATGGAATACATCATTTCAGCTGTGTGAACTGAACTAAATGGATTTTTATTTTTATTTTTCCTTCAAGTTTGCACTTTTTGGACGAGGAAATGGCTGGAAAGTGTACTTTCATGTTGCATCTTTGTTCATGCCTTTGTTTACGTTAAAGTCTTTGCTTTTTAACTATCTCTTACCTGCACCTAAGGTTCCAGTACAACATGGTGTTGATAGAGGCAATGTACCAGAGAGTTACTGCTGGAATCCGAGTGGCTAGCCTTTGCTTTGTTCTTATGCACTTTGGGCCTACCAATAATCTCATTACACTCCCTACCTCTTCCAGTTTGGAAACTTTTGCATTAAGACAGCAAAAGCCATCTGTCCACCAAGCAACATTTTATAGAATTAAGATTTTAGAGGTAGTAATGTCAATTGTGCAGGTCAAATGTTGCAATATCTACTGCAGGATTTATAGAATAGCAGCAAACAATTTATAGAATTAGTGGTCCCTCAACAACTTTCCATATTGTATAGTAGAGGAAATAAATGCCTTTTCTTGATTTAAGCATTATGTGGAGAACAAGTGAAACCTACTATAATATGACAAAAGGTAAAATATGCATTATTTCATCTTGGCAGACATCAGTTCGTCCCTCAATAAATAGTGAAGCTACTGCAGTCCTCAAAAGACATCTGCAATTAGTGCTAGTTGCACCACTCATTATTTTGGGTGATCTTATGTAAATTTTCTCTTTCTCCAGTAAATAGGTGGTACTTTCTGAGCAAGTGAATGTTGGCCGCATCACCACATGAAAGAACAAACTCTGTTTTACTTTTGAAAACTGAAAATCTGAATAGTCTAAAAGCAGAAATGTCTGAAATTGGTCAGCGATATCGTCTACAGAATCTTCAAGAAGCAGCCCTGATTGGCAGTCACCCATTAAATTAATGTTCAATGATTTGAGTACTTCTCCTCTGCAAACTGTTCAGGGAGGTATTACCTGGTTTGTATGTGGATACTACTTGTATTTAATTGGTTTCATATTGCCTTGTACTTCCAAAATGTGATGTAAAATAATTATTTTTCTTGTGTTATTGACCCTATATTTCTCTGTGGTAGTGTAAATCATAACTGATAATAAACATTCATTGATTTATTTTCCATATAGACAAGCACGTCTGTTTTATATCAGAATGTGAAGATGATGTAATTTTGGGTTTGTGTGATAGTGTATAACAGGCAGTATCAGTTCAGTTCAATTGCTCCATTCTTAACAAGATAATGAAAGTTTGAAGAGATGTATAATATGTGTTTAATCCAGTATCATGACAGGTTATCCCAGCCACTGAAAGCAGAATGAAGATATAAATGTAGCAAAATCTACATGAATCTTATAACAACTAAATCTTGGTCTTAACTGAACTTTTCTTCTCAAGAACTGTACATTTAAATTGCCAAAGTACTGATTAAATCACAATATCAAAAGATTGTTTCGAATTAGTAACTCGACAGCTCTCATATTAAATATGTATATTGAAAAGCTGGAGCCAAACTCTGTATCAACTGCCTAAACTTAAAATAGCAAATATGTTTATTTCTGTTGTACAACTGGGCATTTTTCAGCAAGTTTCAAATGATACAGCATTACTGTCTAAAGTTTTTCAAATTGACTCAAAGGAAAGTAGTTAGCACGCATCACTTACCAATAATTAGTTCTCTGATCACACTATCACTCGTTTGTTTTGTTTTCTTGGGCATCAACTTCAATGAGAAATACCCTTTACATGTGTAAGTTGGTGTTTATCTCTCATAGCTCATGATTTGTGTGCCTAATCTAGGCTGATGTTTTAGTATAGTGCAGGGGAAATGCGACTTTTGTTATTCTGTCATGACGTATGGATATCGATGGCTGGGCCAGCATTTATTGCCCATCCAGAGCTGCCCTTGAGAAGGTGGTGGTGAGCTGCCTTCTTGAACCACTGCAATCCAAGTGGTGTAGGTAAACCCACAATGCCCTTAAGGAGGGAATTCCAGGATTTTGACCCAGCGACAGTGAACGAACAGCAACACAATTCCAAATGACTTTTAAACTCAGGATGGTGAATGTCTTGGAGGGAAACTTGAAGGTGGTGGTGTTTCCATGTATCTGCTGCTTTTGTTCTTCTAAATGGAAGTGGTCGTGGGTTTGGAACGTAATACCTAAAAATCTTGGGTTAATTTCTCCAATGTATCTTGTAGAACGTTCACACTGCTTCTCCTAAATGTCAGTGATGGAGGGAGTGGATGCAGTGCTAATCAAGTGGGCTACCTTGTCCTGGATGGTGTCAAGCTTCCTGACTGCTTTTGGAGCTGTACTCATTCAGGCAAATGGGGAGTATTCCATCAAACTCTGACCTTGTGCCTTGTAGATGGTGGACAGGCTTTGGAGAGTCAGGAGCTGAGTTACTCGCTGCAGTTTTCTTATTTTGTAGGCAAGGTGATGCCTATTATTGCTAGACTATTAAGGCAGAGCCCCTGGTATTGTCCTGGGGACCTGGGTTTAAATCTTGCCATGACAGATTGTGGAAATTGAATTCAATAAATACAGCAAATGTTTTATTCACTGGCACCTATGGGACTAGGAGAATACCAGTTGATCAAATATTCCAGTTGATCAAGAGGTCAATGTAATAATCAAAGCAAAAAGATACACTAAGTAATAGAAACATAACGGGGGTATACACATCACTGTTATACTTTATTTACAGCATAAATCACTTAAATAATAATGCAACTTGGCCTTGAATAAAATTTACCTCCAGAGAGCCTTCTCACTTGCACCCTCAACTGACTACTTGGACATTGCGGAGTTCACAATGATACAGTAAACTTGTGGTATTTGAGGTATATAATTTTTGACGGTTTCCCGAGTGCTGGATCATAAGGCACCAGTTGAAACGAAGTTTGCTGTGTCTGGAATTAGGAGTCTAATGGCAATTATGAAACCATTGCTGATTGTCAGAAAAACCCATCTGGTTCACTAATATTCTTTAAGGAATCAAAGTGCTGTCCTTACCTGGTCTGGCCTATATGTGACTCCAGACCCATAGCAATGTGGTTGACACTTAACTGCCCTTTAGGCATTTAGGGATGAATAATAAGTGCTGTCCTTACCTGGCCTGGCTAGTGACATCAACATCGCATGAATGAATAGAACAAAAAGTCTCTGACTTGCTCTTGTAGATACTGTATTTATATGGCGAGTCAAGTTGTTTCTGGTCAGTGGTAACCCTGCTGAATGTTGATAGAGTGGGATTCTGTGATGGTAATGCCATTGAATGTCAAGGAGCAGTGGTTAGATTGTCTCAGAAATAGTTATTGCCTAGCATGAGTGGTTACTTGCCACTTGTCAGCCCAAATCTGGATATTGTCCAGGTCTTGTATTTGAAAATGGACTACCTCCATATCTGAGCAGTAGGAAATTGTGCTGAACGTTATGCAATCATCGGAGAACATCCTACCTTATGATGGGGGTAAGGTAATCAAACAAGCACCTGTTGATGGTTGGGCTTAGCACAGTACCCTGATGTGAGATCCAGCTGGACAGCATTGAAGAAACATTAGTGGACGATGGTCTGATCAACTGTGTCAAATACTGAAGACAGGTCAAGGAGAGAGATACTTTACCATGGTCATGACCACATTGAATAGAGTTGAGGAAGCAGGAAATAAGTTTCAAGGACAAGATGAATTCAAAGAGGGTATAAAGAATATAAGACAGAAATTAGAAAATCATGAGCGTTCAGGGATAGGGTGTAGCAAACTTAAGACAAAATTTAACCTGATTGGCTTAAGAAGGGAAGAAAGTGGCAAAAGGAACTGACCAGATATTCTTAATTGTAATGACAAGTATTTACATGTATTCACAGAGGAGACATGGGAGAGGGATTTAAGAAAAGGTTTTGAAATAGAGAAAAGAAGCCAGAAGATGCCTCTACATTCCTGAATGATCCAGGATTAGTGGACAGTTCTTGCATATGAGAGCAGGATTCAACAGAGATTTACGTGGTTTAGCCAGAATTGCATTGGGTGCCCAAACAGTTCCCAACTATATTGTTTCAAGTTTATTTTCATTTCAAGTTTGCTTTCAAGAAGGTTAAGAAAATGGAGATGAGAGCTATATCAGGGAATGGCCAGGGTTAGAGTGAGTAAGGCTTTATTAGGGACAAGGCCATTACTGGTAGAGAGGAAGGAGCAATTAAACAAATCAGTAGCTGCAACACGCTGTGGTGAATAGCAGCCAAAAGCTAGACAGTTGGGATTATGAAAACCCAGTTGTAAATGTTTTGGGAGCTAGTTTATTGCTGGGGCTGTTATGGAAGGAAATAGGATTGAAGTATGTGATCAGAAATAGCCTTATCTGTACTTGATATTATTGGAATTATCAAAGACAGGTGAAGTAGCAAGGTCAAGGGGCAGCTGTGAAAAGGTGAGAAGTTAGAGAAAATAGAAAGCCAGTAGAAAGGAGAGATAACATGATGAGTTGAGATGGAAGATGAAATCACTTAGGATGAGGGTAGTGTTTGGTGTAGAGACTGAGGGAAGAAAAAAGTGATGATAGTTTAGTGATAACATTTGTATTGAATCTGGAAGAGTTGTAATGTTTTGAATGCAAGCTGAGTTGCTGAGAGGAGGTGCAAGTGCAAGAGGAGTTTGGGATCAAGCCAAGTTGCAATTTGGTGATAATGCCACACAATTACAATGGTGCTCTAGTGGGCAAATAGACTAAGACACAGTCCAGAAGGGGAGGCGGGGACTTAATTAAGGGGAATGGTGTCATCAGCCCTTACTCAGGTTTCTGTTAAATGTGGGATACAAATGAAATCATATGCAAAGATAGTAGGAACTGCAGATGCTGGAGAATCTGAGATAACAAGGTGTAGAGCTGGATGAACACAGCAGGCCAAGCAGCATCAGAGGAGCAGGAAGGCTGACGTTTCGGGCCTAGACCCTTCTTCAGAAAT